CCCGCCCCCCAGCATCTGGCTGCTCTGACACCCACCACCCAAGTCTCATGGGTCCCCACCCCTGAGGAATGCTTTGGTTCCACTCCAGTGCCAGGCAAGGAATGGAGGTGAGGCCCGGCTTCCAGAGAGCCACGCCCTCAGCTCCCTACCCGGCGATAAAGGGTGAGGACCAGGTATTCTTTTGTTTCCGGCCAGAACGAGAGACACAGCGAGGGAAACAGCGGACGGCTTGGCCACAACTACCATCCCCGCGGCCCCGTGTTAACCCTTCCGGGGCTCCAGTCGCCAGTGCCGCCACATTCGGTTATTTTTATTGTCGCTGCGGCGAGGACTGGGAGGGGCCGCTCCATCATGGCGCGGCCTCTAGGTCCAGACTTTCCTTCCTCCAGCGTGGGCGGGGAGGGGGCGTTGGCGGCCGATCTCTTCCTTTCTCCAGCGGGGAAGAGCTCCGCGGCGAGAGCCGAGGGCTGGGCCTCGTGAAGGCCGCGCTCGGGAGGCCCCAGGGCCGGGGGGAGGGGGTTCGGACCCCGCGTCCCTCCCTCTTTTGTTCGGCTCCGCATCCTCCCGGTCCACGCCATCCAGCACCTCCCGCGAGGAGGGGCACTGCAAGCCCACGGGGAGAAGGACCCGAGGCGCCAGCCCCGCCCCGCCAGGCAGGGCTCCCCCCACCCCCATTGTCCCCAGAGGCTGGGGGGAGGGGGCTGCCAGGCGAGGCCGGCCCCGCCCCACCCGCCGCGTCGCGGCAGCCTCGGGGGCCGCCCCTGCAGCCCCCCGGCGGAGCCGACCCCACAAAGGGCGGCGCGGGGGCCCCGCTTACCGTGATGTGCGGGATGCTCCTCTTGCCCTGGTAAGACATGGCCCCTCTGACGCCCTCGGCCCGGCCGGGGACCCGTGCGCCGTCTGTCTGTCTCTCGCGCTGTACGGCTGTCTGTGGGTCCCGCTCCGCGCGGGCGCGGCGCAGAAGCCCGGGAGGGATGCGGAGACGCACGGAGGCTCGGCGCTCGCGGCCGCCCACGCACCCGCCGCCCGGCTCTCGGCCCGCGCGCCGCCGCCCCGGCTGCCAGCACCGCCCGGCTCCGCGAGGGGGCGGGAGGAGGAGGGCGCTGCAGACGGACAGCTCCTCCCGGCGG